ATAAATAACATATGTATACATACGAGGGCTGCCCATAAAGAAACTGAACTTTTAAAAAAGCGCCTGATTGCGATGGCATGGAGTCATCCGCCTTGTGGCATTGCGTAGTGGGATTCTTTAGCAACTCTCTCACACCACGAACATACTATCGTTCACAAGAGCTATCGTTCTTAATTTACAATTTATAATGCTTGAATAAGGTTGTGTTCGGTGTTCGGGCGATTTTTTTAAAGTTCGGTTTTTTTATGGACAGACCTCGTATATATATATATGACATGAGTCAATAAAATTAATGAGATAGATATTCCAATCTAAACACATGATCGAAATATTGATAATTATCCCAATCTAAATAATACGCCAAGATATTGAGGCATAATATAAAACAACGTCTCTCTTTCGAAACTTCTATTAATATATTTAGTAATTTAAAAATATCTTTTATATTTTTATATTTCATATTTTACTTCTTCATTTTTTAGATATATAATTATTTAAATAACATTTTCTTCGAAATAAAGTAACATATTATTATACATGTATCTATCACCAAAAGCGTATAAAAGGAGAATGGGATTCAATTTATTAATTCTGTGTCTGCCTTTCGGAAATGTTTATATAATCATTACGCTAATGATACATGTCCATAATGATTAAAGGTTTCGTAATCGATGTAGGTTATAAGTTAGATACATTGATTCCCTCGGGCTACGTGTTCGAGATTCCCCTTTACTGGATACTGATTTTCCCGATCTCCCCTCTAATCTCGCTAACAATAACAATCTTTAATCAATTGTAATATTACTACGTGCTGCTAATCGAACTTCGTATTATGCACTAGTTATCAAAAGAATAATTTTCAAAATATGAAACTTTTATATATATTATATATAAACTCTAAATATCCACAGATTTTAAGTCTAAATATCATTATACGCAAAGTTGCTTTTGTTAAATTGATTTTTTTATATACATAAAAAATTGAGAGAATTTAATATACAAATTAAGCATTATATAAAAATAGTTATACAATACAGTTACATTTAATATAGAAAATTTCCGCACCCATAAGATACACTGAAGTCGACAATCATCTTTATGGAAGATATTATACGAATAAGGGTGGAATTTCTCACATATTAAGGATCTCCAGTTAGCTTTCGCCACTAAATATGGCGCAACATATATATTGTGTCTCTAATTAATCCGATACTGATTTTCCCGATCTCCCCTCTAATCTCGCTAACAATAACAATCTTTAATCAATTGTAATGTTACTACGTGCTGCTAATCGAACTTCGTATTATGCACTAGTTATCAAAAGAATAATTTTCAAAATATATATTTATCTATTATTAAAACTCTCTCTCTCTCTCTCTCTCTCTCTCTCTTATATATTGTAAAAAAAATTAAAGGGTCTTTTGGACTAATCTAATGTGTGCTCTCTGATAGAGATAAAATAATGAACATGAACTAGATATTAGAAATATCGACATTTACGGCGGTTATATTTTTAATCATGGATATTTTACAAAGAAATGTTTGTTTTGTGAGTAATATATTTTTATTTTCTATTACAAAAGGGGAGGGAAGCATAAATGTAAAAATCTTTTACTTCCAATAAAAAAATTTTGTTATAATATATATCAACATATTGTGTCTCTAATTAATCCCACTGTCACCAACTGTTCGCAAACTAGCTTAACAATCACCTAATTTCCGGCCATCAGCGCCAGTCGTGTTGTTCCTCATGAAGATGTCATTTGAAGTGAAACAGAGTCGCAATGTCTCCGGCAGATCTCAGACCCTAGCCGTTCTCTACATTATTCATTTAACGTATTATACGTTATCTTGTATTCTCTTTCTTTCTCTCTCTATCTCTTGCTTTTAATTATTACAAGAAATATATATTTTGCATAAATTTGTTGTAAAATATTTTTTTATTTTATAATAAAAACAGATTTTTATAAATACATTTTTTTATATGGTTTATACATCGCCAGTATAATCTCCCGCTCTAATCTGAAATTGTTGAGAAAAACGTGAACTTCCTTTATTGCAGGAATGTAATTTTGCGCTTGGTGCAAATTCGCGCGAACGAGACGCTGACGAATGGCGGAAATGGCGCGATGCGCCGGACTTGAAAATCTATTATCGACGGAATTAGCAGTGCCTCGGGGCACGTATTCCCGGCGACGTGGGCACGCACCCTTTGTCTACCCGCTAACGATACGGGGTGGTGGATAAGGGTGGAGTACACGGTCCCCTCGGCAAACATCAGACTCGCGTTAGCCGCCAGAAATCAGGGGGAGATATATCCGGAGAAATCGACCCGGGCAAATCTCCGTGTGCCGAGTTATATCGAGTTTCCGGATAATTCGATCGTCCGCTTCTCTCGACTCACTTCTCGCGAATCTCTGTAGTCTACTTTTCCCGCAAATAATCGACATTTGCTTTCTTTTCTATTTTTATTTCTTCGTCCGGACTTATTTAAATTTCTAGGGTGTTAGAAAAGCAGAGGAGAGTATGTGTGTCCGGCAGGTCATTTTTTCCCCAAGAGAATCTCGCGCGGTTCTATAGAATCACTCACGACTATCAAGGTAAATTAATTGGACAAATAAATTGACAAGTAGACAAATTAGATAAGTATAAATGTAAAAAATTTAATTATTACGAAACTTGTATGTGAACAATATAAATCTTGAAACCGGAAATTTAAAAATTATAAGATATCCAAAAAAAAAAAAAATAAAAAGCTGAAATATATATTGATACGTATCTACTAACATCAGCTATATTTGACTCGCATTTGTCTTTAATGATGAAAAATTTACAAAATCTTCAATATTTTAAAAGGTCGCTTTACGTTCTTGATTTTTTATCCATATATTGGACGCGACGCTCTATGTTATATCGAGATCCAATGGTTTCTTTTGACCACCCAAAACTGTCAACGGCAGAAATAACCCATGAAGGACCCCATAAATTTCGGACAGACGATGTCTGGACCGATAGTTTCGCCAGATGAACTGCTTTTAGGCGTGCTTATGCGGGTGCGCATCCTATATAGTATGTACACAGGGGATGATGGTGGTTCTGCTGATGGTTCTCGTAGTCCATAGCCGTCATGGCACAAGACTTGAAGCTTCCGCAATTCCCGGGAGCATCGTAGCTCAAACTTGTTCCCCGATTCTCCGCAGACATCTACTATATTGAGAGAAATCCTCAAGGAATGGTATGTGCACACTATATTATTTTACACAAGATATTTACGGTGTTATATTCTTTCACTTTAATTGGCACTAAATATATTATAATATCACTAATGTATTTCTCAATAAATATATATTTACTTTATATACACTTTTTCTGTTTTCTGTATTATATAATATAACAAATTTTTTTTTTTAAGATATGATTTATAATTGTCATAATTTTTGTAAGTTTAATTTAGAAATGAATTATGTCGTCCTAAAAATGTTCGTTACAAATCGATACGAATCGATTTATTTTACACAAAAGATAAAAAGAGCGTGCGTTATCTTGCTATTTTACGACTCGACGAGAGAAATTCCATGTAGCTCGTGCAGGAAGACAGTGTCGGAAAAAGCAGGCGATAAACACAAGTTTTTATGTTATGGCGAAAATTGTATCTCCTTCCGAATGCACCTCGAACGATCTCGTCCGGTCTAATGCGAATCTAATGCTGCGATCGCACATCTGGAGCCGTCGACGAGGAGCTGCGGGAGGTGGAAAATTGCATTATTTTTCGATGTCAAGATGTTGAAGGATGGAAGAGAGGGATGCAAAAGGAGAAGAGAGCGTGCATTAAAAGCGGATTTGCTGTGCACTCTCGAAATTCACGTCGGCCGAGATACACACCTCGTTTAATGGCTTGGGGAATATCCGGAAATGACGTGTGCGCACCACGAGACGAGAAAGAATGTGCCATTACGCTTTCGTGTGGAGGGTATTATTAAATTCTTACCGCCGTTAAGAGCCGTTATTAAAAATGCTTGCGCGACATCTCGGCTGAAGATTATTCCACCGTTAAAAATAATAACATGTAAATATATGAAGTAAATATAGACACTTATAAATTGGTAATTAATATTGAATGGTTTTTTTTTAACGCCTGTATATGTTCAAACTATTGACAGAATTTATATGGTGGGAGACTACGTAATAATGTTAATAATTATTATTATTATATCGCGCGCAGAAGTTGAAAAGATGAGACTTAATTATGCCAGAGATTGCTTGGAAAGAGGAGTATTAATTATGTCAGAGATTGATCGCATTAACAATGCTGGAAGAAATAGTGAGCTAGTTTACGAAGTCGTAATAAAAATATAAACAACAAACTTCTACTTCCTCCCCCTCTTCCTCTCTTTTCCTATCTCTTGCTAAATCATATATTTTTTATTCTATATGATTACATATATTATTAAGTGTGTATGTATGTGTATATAAGAAAGATATTATTTCTATTTTGAATTATTTCAAGATATTATTTCTATTTTAAATTATTTCATAATTTACAGTTAAATAATTCAATTAATAAATTTTAGTATGGTCTGAAAAAAAATAAAAAATATTTTTGTACATTATGTTTACTACTATATTATACACACACACATACACGTACCCACACTTTACGTTATCTTATTACATTATATTATGTTTTATATATTATTAATTATTAATATCTTTTTTTATTTGTATACTAAATTACATATATCAATTAAATTATTTAACTGTAAATTATTCTGTCGTAGAATAA